AATTTACGCCACTTAGCTGATTGAGACCCAGTTGTTAATACTGCTTTATTAAAAGTGTACAAAACTCTTTACATGGGTGTAAAAATAATTTCAGTGAAAATGACGTTGTGCGGACTCACCAGGCTAAAGTATTCATCCTGTGATTACAGACGGGTTTTGTCTCTGCTGTTCTACTTTCTTCCAAGCCTTTTGCTCATGGAGTAAGACTTAACAGTCTGCATTAATTTACTTTGGCACTTCACACGGTCAGTCAGGCCACGAACACGATGGTCTCTAATACATTTCTAAAAAAATCCAGCGAAGCTCCTTTTTAATTGATGTCCTTCATAAATTGTGTTTGCTGAAGCTGTAATTACTTGTCAAGCAGCAAAAGCAAATCTACCTCCAAGTACAATGAAGATGTTCTTTCGTAAAATGATTAGGCAGAAGTTCGACATGCACAGTAATTTAGTTCTGCTTTATAATGATATCTTTGGGGACTGTATCTTTGGGGATCACATCTATTAGAGCCTGTCAAAGTAGAAAAGGACCCATCACCATTGTGCACCTTATAAATGCGCCTTCCTTACAGTGACCATTTCTCCACATATATGTGCATTAGAATAGTGGGAATGATCCGATTTCTTCAGTGACTTTTGTCTGTTTTTCATTTTGTGGAGACAGAGTCTCACTGTGTAGTTCAGGCTGGCCTTGAACTAGGATTGGTCCTCCTGCCTTTCCCTCCCCAGTGCTGGGATTATAGGCATGCACTACCATGTCCAGCTCTTGGATGCTTTTATATGCCCTTCAGAGTAATTAACTGTATCACCTGATGGTCTTTTAGCTTATTTGGAATATTTTGGTTTGACTCTTAGAACCACATACAAGACTCCTAGATGACTTGAGATGCAGATCTTAGAAGTGCAGGATTAGCATCTTGAAAATTTTAAAATAGGCCAAATTAGAGTGAAACAGGATGGATGATTTAGAAATTCTTGGTCAGTTAGGATATTAGCTTTTATAGGGGCATTTGGGGAGAATAAAATAATATTGTCAACAAAGGGCTGGATATAAGTTTTCCTAGAGTTGTGGAGGGAGAAACAAAAGGAATTAATTATAGTGTTTTTTTTTTGTCTGTTCATTGTCTCCCATTTAAAGAAAAATGTAAGCTCCATCCAAATATAGACCTTGTGAGCTTTTCCCACTTGGTCTTAGTGCCTAGCACAGCACCTTAAATATAGCCCACTTGTGAATATTTACTGAGTGATTAGACTGTAGGATTTCTCACAGCCTCTCATTTCCTAGGGTTATTGTGACTCGTCATGGACCTCTTCCCAGCCTTGCTGGTCTGGGGAACCCTTTTCTGGAGGAACATTTTATTAGACTTGGGTCCCTTCAAATACTCTCTGGGAAATTCTAGCTTTGAGCAAAATAGGTGACAGTCAAGTTTTCAAATTGAATTGGCCACCAAGGCCAGTATTCAAAGCAGGAGTCAGGAGGGCTGTCACACATCCATGTGTGACTCTGTCCTCACCGGCCAGCCTCAGTCTACTGCTTCATCAAGTATGGGTAATCATTCTATTTATTTTGCTGGTTATTGGGGAAATAGATTACATTGAGTCCCACTTTGGTAAATTAAATGAAATAATAAAGTGGAGGGCTTCTCTGGGCTAATATTCATCATTATTTTCATTATTATTGTTATCATTTAAAAGTGAAGTGATAGATGGTCCCATTTAGCAGGGCTGATTATGAGGCACTCAAGTTCAAATGGGACCAGCCTCGCTTACTCCTTGTAACAAATCTTGGAGTGCTTCTAATATGCCAGGCATTGTTAATTCTGGGGGTGATGGTAGTGAGCACACTTATGGCCCCTTCCCTATGGACCTTGAGGGTTTTTGGTCATTTAATGTGTTTACAGATGTCACTGTCTCCTAGAACATAAAGTAAATTTAATTGTACACAATTCACTTAAAGTTAATTGTCCTGAGGTCATTATATTAGCGATGTGCCCCAAAGGAGTACTTTTTCTCTCAGAATCTGATCTGTTCTTAACACCAAACGAGTAAAGCAAGATTCATAGGTCACATTTTAAAATAAAAGAAAAATGAAGCTAGCATTATGAGGTAGGGTAATCAGATGGAAAGTGTCATCCCTTCCATATGATTAGTTTAACCACTACAGTGCAGCAGCCAGAGTAGAAAATGAAAATAATACATAACACCCAGTTACAGTTGGATCACAGATAAAGAATAGTGTTTTTAGTGTAAATATGTCCCAAGTAGTACATTCAAGATACTTATACTTTCTTTTATTCTTTTTTTTATAGTACTATATATGAAAGTCAGATATAACCTCAGAGTCCCTGTTGTCTTAACAGATCGTCCTATCAGGGGTTCCAGCCACCTGTGTAGGAGAGAAACCATTTTGCCTGCAACAAGTCAATATTTAAAGCCGCCTTTGTACAGGAGGTATATTACCCCAAATGGAATAGAAGCCATTACTTCTATTTGAAATGATTTATAACTGTTTCCACCTGATTGCCAAGTGTTTCCAAATTAAAAGCCATTAATTAAGGCCATATGCAGATACGAGAGATACGCTCGGAGTGCTTTGTAATTCCAGCTCAGTACTTCAGGTGAGAGCTTTTCAAATTATGTGGACCACTGAAGCCACCTGCTTGACTAAACGCAGTGCAGCCGGCGCCTGGCTCATCAGCACACTGCGGTGCCAGCGTTGTTACTGATTTTTCTCATTTCTCCAGGGCAAATACTAATTAATGGATACAATTCACAGCTGATTAGCTGTAGTTTCTTCAGTAATTACATTCGCATACTAACTGTTCAGAAGAGGATTTCTAACCCAGTTCTTATTTCACTGGAAGCTTAATTTGTTTTTTGAATTGTTTAGGCCCTTAGTTTAATAGCCATTTTATTTTTCTTTGTTGTTTTAGGTGCTATTAGATAATAAGTGAGTTTAATCTTAAAAAAATACTCTCTGATAATGAGCTGTTTGCCTTAAATGGATTTCTAATTCCTCAACAAAACCTACATTTAAATAACGTTAAAGTTGTGATACAGTCTGTCAAGCAGTTTGAAGGGCCGGTATTGAAGCATTTTCTACATAAATTCTCATTTATGTCCAAGAAACTCATTTGATTCCAGGCCTGAGATTTTAATTCTAACGTCATTAATCCAGCAAAAACTGCACGGTAGAAATCTGTGTTTGTTTTTTTTTCTTGCATGTGTTTAACATTGTAGACAAATGGGGAAAACGTGAGTGTCGTGTGTGTATGTGTGTGTCTGTGCACCTGTGCACATGGTCTTGATATCTCGTGCCTTAGGGGCTAATTCGTGCATCTTTAGGAGTCCTTATAAAGATATTTACCTAAATGAATCTGAGCAGTCAAGGAGAGCCTTTCTGACGGCTCATTGCGTGTGTTTCAGGTGTCGTTTTACATGGTAAGATTTTGCTGCTATAGACCAGAACAGCACTCTGGAATCATTAAAGTCTTTCCTATAAATCCTGCTTAGTTCTTGGATCCCTGACATGATAAAGTGGAGCATGTCAGCCCCACTTCCTGCAGGCTCCGTGTCCAGCTGAGAGTGCCCACCCCTGAAATAATGTGTTTGTCAGTTTATTGAGAGGAGGATTATGTGGGTCTTCCCTATCTGCGTATCTGTATCTGTATTCAATATATTCTATCTGTCCATGTATCTGCCTGTGTACCTAACTGTTTATCCTCATCCATCCATCCATCCATCCACCCACCTATCTCTTGGGAAAATTATACATTTAATTTAAATAATTGCTACCTTTCTGTGTATTAGACACTAGTGAGACCTAACCTATGTTTTATTTGATGCATTAAAGGCAGAAAATAGTATGCTTTACAAAAACGACACTCTTTTACCAATTTAAAAAATCGTAAAAAATAATATAGCTCTATATAATTATGCCCACAGAGCCTTTCCATATTGCCAGACTGATAACAAAATGTTTAAGGCAACAGAATGTGCCTACTTATACCATTTGGACCTGAAAATACATTTCTGCCAAAATACAAGTTTTACATTTTGATAACAGGTCCCTAGAAGTAAAGAGCTTAAGTCTGAAATGCTGATACAGTCTTATTTGTGATGATATGAATGGGCTATTGTGTTAGGGAATGAAATAAAAATTGCTGTGTTCATAGGATCACGCTTATTTTTAAACCTCTTTGCATTTAATGTTACACTGAGAGATTAAATATCACTGTTTTCAACAGCTCTGATGGATAGAGATATGCCTTCTTTAAGCTTTGTTTGGAGATTTAAAAAATATTCTTTAGTCTTATTTATTTATATTCATACCACACCTCATTCACTAGAAAATAGAATTTGAGTCCTGGGAATCGAATTTTATTCCCTTTAATTCACATTTTAACCTACCCACACTTGTGACATCTGTTCTTGAAGAGTAAGGTATAAAATCCCAATATGCTTTAAAATGTGTCAAGGTGATTTTCTTGGAAAGTCTTTTCTTCTAACCTCTGACAAATGCCAGTTCAATAAACAAGACACATTAGTGACCAGCCGGCTCCATGTGTATAATTCTCCCATTTTGCTATTAATCTTGATGAGAATCAAAAATGTTACCTACAGTTATTGAGTTAGCTTAACTTTGGGCTTTATTTTCTGAGTGAACTAGCTGGCGGTGTAGTGTGTCTTGAAACCTTTCAAATGTTGAATTTGATCTGAACAAAATCCCCTTTAATCTCATAACATTGGCATTTTTTCCAAGCATGAAGTAAACATCCAGATTTTTAAAAAGACTTTTATTTTCATTGGTACGTGTTTGCAGTATATAGTGATTACATTCATGGCGGGGAGTTGGTACATGAAAATAGCACATCTTAATTCTTTTTACTTCTTTCCTTTGCCTCTCTCCTCCCTCCCGCCATCTCTTGGTCCCCTTCCTATTCGCAAAACAGAATTTTTTATTATCCCTACATTAACATAAAACAATCTATTTTCTTTCAGTTTGGAAATAATAATAACTACATGAACATGGCTGAGGCAAACAATGCTTTCTTTGCTGCCAGTGAGGTAGGTGTGTGTCTGACGGTATCTCTTTATGTTCTGTGTGTTACTTAGATAATTTAATAGGCTTGAAGGGAAAAGCAAAGTACTAAATTTATCTCTCTCTTATGTGGCACAAGGTAACGACTTTGGAGAAGAAATGAGAAAAGCCTATTGGAAAAGAAAATAACCTGACAAGAATTTCTCACGTGTTCATAGGCTGTTGCCAGCGTTTGTAACTTCCCATGCATCCCTTGAGGGAAAGAGTATATATGAAAACAAAGATAAATATAAAAGGAAGTGTGTTAAACACGCACACACACACACCCCTGACTATATTGCTATTGAAGCAGATAAATAGTTATTTTGGAAGACAGGTTAAAAAGTGAATTAATAGAAAATACTTTAATTTTACATGTATCTAGGAATAATTTCATTAAGTTGCAATAGTTTGGGAAATGATGTGTCAGAAAAGTATTATGGCTTCTGAGAGTTTGGTAGGATGATGTGAAATGAGTGTTTTCCCTGGATCTAGCACAATGCCTGGCAGTATTAGATGCTTACTAAAAAATCATTGAATGAATGAGTAGATGAATAGGCGTGATGTAGTTTTAAGTGCAGCATCATGTTGGTTCTGTTTGTCTTCAGTTTACCTGTGTTGCAAACATTATCTTGTTGTTGTTTTATTTTATTTCTTATTATTGATCTAGGACCATTGTCTGGTCTCCTTGGTCTGCCCTGCAAAATAAGCTTGACCTTGATTAGATCAAGAAAATAGTTTCCTAAAAATGGTAAACCATTTGAGATTTAAGATCTTCAAACGTGAATAAACAGAATTGTGAAATGGGTCCAAATGGAACATTTCCTCTTGCAGCTCATGTAATGAAAAAGTCTTCATTTTCCAAATATATTCAGATATGAGAAAGTGAACTGGCTTGACCCCAGAGGGTGAACATAGTAATGGCTTCATAAATGATCTTGGTACAGGGAAGCAAGTGATATGAAAAAAATTAACACCAAGAAATGAGTAGAATAAATGGGGAATCAAGAAAGGATATTTGTAGATTAATCATTTTTACAGTGACCGTCATCTCTCTAACCAAGAAGATAGCTTAGATAAGGGAATATTGTTTGGCACTGGCTGCTGTGTTGTTTGTGATAATGAACACAAACCCCATCTGTAAGGACAACATGATGTTTCATTCTGTAGGATTTTTTTGCCTACATTTGAATCAAACATTGATGAAAGCTCTACTGCCAGCAGCTGTTCAGAGACAATTTAATTCCAGCTGTGATAATTCACCGTGTCAGACATTGGCTGTTATATGTTGATACAACAGTTCTCCAGATTTGCATTTTTATCAAAAGGAACAAATGTTTTGAACATTTCAGTACAGATGGTATTTAACCATGTACACACTATTTTAACATGTTCAAGGTAAACACTGAAAAAGTCAGTATCTGTAAAAAATGATCACATAAAGGCTCAATGATTAATCTGATATTGGTTATCTGCCGTGGTTACCAAAGTTAAACCCTTTTTAAAGGTATTTTAAGATTTAAGCTTTTCCTTGCTTATAATGAAGATGTTATCTTAGTATGTTTTTTATTAGGTTAGGGTATGTTAATACCCTGAATTATAATTTTAAATTAATTTATCTTTTAGAAAATTATGCCATAGAGACATATTGTATATATGGTCTTTCTATTTCTTAACAAAAATAAAAAGGAAAACCTGTTTAATTTTGGCTGCCTGACATGAGACTTGCTTTATATTAGTGTTTAAGAGATAATCTTATATAATGATTTCACTGTTCATCTCTCAATCAGAAAATAAAGCCCAAGTAATTGTTAACACACTGCTTTAGAGCATGTGCCTAATTTCACAATCACTACATTAAATGTAAATTTATTTGGAATTTTAACATTTTAATGAGTGCAAACTAATTCAGAGGACTTTAGGTTTGCACAATGTAAAGTCTAAATTGTGCCTGGCACAAATTCCCTTCCTATAGATATTGTCCTGTACCTAACACTACAGGGACTAGGATGCTCTAAGTCTGAAATTCACACATTAGCTTTATGTTTTCTGTCTGTGTCATGATTACCCTGACCGTTTTTAAAGTACTTTAAATATTTATTGAAATAATATTTCAAGTGTTAATTACAGTGGTAATGAAAACAGCCAAATGCCACATATCAAGAATGAGTGTTTATCCGTATTGTTAATGTGATATGTTAGATTTCATTAAGCAGTAATGGGGTAGCAAATGAGTCACAAATTACAGTTGCATCTGTTACTAGACCACATTAGTGCCAAAATAACGGCAAATGCAGCCATAGGGTTATGTTCATTAGCCAGCCACGCTTGTGGCCAATTCATCCCTTTGTTGCTGAGAACTCAGGGTGCTGCAGTGAAAACTTGACATCTTGGGGTCATTGTAAGAATACATATGTCAGATAACTTAATATTTTATTCCTGCTTTCAACTGTATCATTATGATGCAACATTTTGCATTTATTGAATCTGCTGAGAACCTCAAAGTGATCATTTGTCCAACCATAGATTTCCATAGTCTGTCATCTCTATTTTTGGTGAGATACAAATAATATTTAACCAATTCTGTAAGCAAGAAATGTTTTTAGTGGCTCTTCCCCCTTTGAAACTGTACTTTTATTTCAAGTGGTTTTTATGTACTATCATCATTGATGGTTTGAAAAATGATGGTTTTCAGCACTTAATTAGTTCTCTTTACTGATAATAGCAGGCTCCAATTATCTTGCGCCAGTTCATTCTTTCAAATACTATTAATAATAAATGAACTATCACTTTGACCCTCTGAGCTAGGAATAAAAAAATATCTGAGTGGACCCCCCAACCCCTTCACTTTACCTAAGAAATATGTTAGATTTAGCATCCCCTTCCCTTCTCCCCAAATCCAAGAGGTCTAAGAAAAATGATTCACGTGGTTGAGCAAGGAAACCCTGATTTATATAAAAAACCCCACTTTAAAGTGCAACAAAAATCTCAGTTGCAGTAAAGGAAGAAACGCATCGAGATTTACTTAGGTTTTGGAATATAATACCTGTTTAAGGAAGTGAGCAATACCAATGTAGTTAGTATATTTATATCAATATAGCTCTATGTTCTCTAGGTAGTCTTTAAAAGTTGAAGACTGGTAGAAAATGTTCCAATAAATATATATTAAAATGTTCATATAAAAGAAATATCCCTCCTTAGACTTTAAATAAAAGTACTGGTACCTTTTAATATGAACTATGATAATCCTGGTATAAAACCTTACAATGACACAGTTACAATTTCCACAGAGACATTTATTGCACTTGGGAATATACCAGTAAGGAAATTAAAAAACCAAACCACAAATTTAATATTACTTGTTTTATAGGTTGTGGCAGAAAGTAAATATGTGTAATGTTCACTTCTGGATTAATGTTGTATGTGTGTGTACCGAAAAATCATCAGCATTTTATGAAGCATGTGGATCGTGTAAGCGGTTTGAGCTGTTTCACTAACATATCAATAAAGTGGCAATTTGTTATATAGCCAAACCTAATGTCGCTGATGCTCCAACTAACAACAAAGACAGATGTTGCTAATTAAGTACGCATTAAAAAACTGTTAATACTGATACTCCATTAAAACCATATGATAATGAGACTTAAATCTTTAATCAGAATGATCAGCAAAACTTTATATGTGGAAATCTGTGTTTAAGATGTTTTCATTTGAGAAATAAATATTTAGCCGAGATATATAGTGTTTTCATGCAGTCTTTTTTCTTCCCTCCAAGGAGGAAAAAAATATAGGAATGGAATATGAGGATATCTCTGTTTTGTTTCCTTTTAGCAGACATTCCATACGCCAAGCCTTGGAGATGAGGAGTTCGAAATACCACCAATCACACCTCCTCCAGAGTCAGACCCTGCTCTGGGCATGCCTGATGTACTGCTACCATTTCAAGCCCTCAGTGATCCATTGCCTTCCCAGGGAAGTGAATTCACACCTCAGTTTCCCCCTCAAAGCCTAGATCTTCCTTCCATTACAATCTCAAGAAATCTCGTGGAACAAGATGGTGTGCTTCATAGCAGTGGGTTGCATATGGTAGGCACCACCATATTATTTATTACTTGAAATTATATTTTATAATTTGCACTGATCATGGAAAAACATCTGAGTCTTTCCCTATCTCTGTCTATTGATGGACATGTAGATTGTTACTTCTATTGGCATTTAAATGCAGGTTCAGTATTGGATCAGTACCTTATGTTGGGCTGATTAACAGTCATGTAAAGGAGGATGATCAACAAAATCCTTTGCATAAGAGATGATTTTTCAAAAGTTTGATTCATTGGTTTTGAGAAGCCAGTCTTCACTTGCCTTTGCTTTAACACAGAAATGTGTTTGAGTTGAAAGTCTACCTAGATGAGATTTTGAAAATGGAGGATATTCTGAGGTGCCTAGGACTTTTAAACTTGTTGGATTATGACATGACTTACTTGACCATAACTATTACATGACTTATTTCACTTGACCAGGTCAAATGAAATCCAAGTTGTGGTACAAAGGAAAGAAAAAGAATAATTGCTTATAACCAGCAGAAGAAAATGTATGATGAGTTATTGTGTGAAATACACCTATTTGTGTTATTTGTTGTCGTAAACATCAAAGAAGGTACTCCAGAGAACCCAGATTACTAATGTAATAATTTTGGTTCTATTTTCCTTAATGCGCAATTATAGTCAGCAATCACTGAAGTAAATCTGCTTAAGTATTTTAAAATCCTCTGTGGGGATTGTCTTTCACCCCCCATCATAGCATATAATGTGTTTGTGTCTATCTAGGAGAGGTACTAAGTAGACATTTTAAAACAAGATTAATAGTGTATAGGGCTTGTTATATAAACCCTGATAAAATGAAACAGATGTTTTGGTATAACAAAAAACAAGTCCTATTGCATGTTTACATATTTCTGTGCACATTAGGACCTTGCCAGTGATGTTTTTTTGCTTCATTGTTAATTCTCCAGATAACTTATGATTGCAAAATATGTAGTGGGTTAGCAGTGCAAGCAGTGTGCTCTCTGAGATACAAGATTACCTTCCCAAAAAGGATTGCCACAATGTAATTTTTTTTTGCCTATGATATTTTGTGTTTGAGTTGAACATCAGGGTTTTTATTTTTACTTCTTTTTTTTTGTCAGAAAAGAAAGCAGTGAACAATCAGGAAATGGCCATTAAGTATTCATAAACATTACTCGACATCACAAGTAATTGTTTCCTGTGGACTTATGTTTTTGTCCCACTGACACTGGAATGGAGGGTTCTGTCCTGTGCCTGGAAAATAATAAAAATAAAAAGGGTGTTTGGTTGCTACAGGAGTGTGCCAGGGTTCCCCATTATTCGTAGCTACTCAGTCAGGCTCGTTTAGGTTACACAAATAGTTAAAAGACCATATAATGTATACTAAAATGTGTACTTTATTAAATTGGTAAATATTTATTAATAATATAAGAATCTGCCTTTAAATTAAACATCTGATGGATTACCTTGCCTTAAAGCTATAAAACTGTTATTGCTGCTATAAAAAAGTGTAAAGGAGGCATTTTGACTATGAAATTTCATTTCATGGTCAATTGAATTTACTATATTGGAAAGAACTAAAGATGGAATCATAAAATAATTATGATATTCACATACACTTAAAGAACACAGCCTGGCATTGGGAGAGAGGACTCAATTTTTAATGCTTCTTGAGTAATGTATGGCTAATCACTAAAGCAGTTGAATTATTTCATTGATTTTTAAAAGTATAGGCACTTCATCTAAGTGCAGGCTGTCATCATGTTATTTACATGGACCTCATCACATTTATTGGTGCCTTTTTGAAGTTTTGCTGCACCTGAATGCTATTTATTTTGGCTTGAAACAAACTAATCTTGTTGAAAATTCTAGTAGAATTTCACCTTGAAGAAATGTCATGGGATTTTAAATCACAAATGTTGGGAAAAAAATAAAATGTACTAGGACAGAATTATGATGAATACAGTGTGTCGTTGGCTTTGTTCTATGGACTACCTGACATGTTCACCTATAAACTTGAATTCAGAATCGCCAGAGGCATGGTTAAAAATAGGTTATGTCAAGGTTCTTCTGTATCTCCCTCTGGGTACAGAGTTAGCTGGCTACATCATAATACTCTACAGAAGCCTCCTTGGAGATTTCCCTTAGGAAGGTCACCACAAAAATAATAAATAATGCTTTGTACATCAGGTATTCAGTTTCCAAGTACGCACTGGATATTTCATAGCTTATGCAAGTAAGAAGAAGTTTTATTATCTAAATGAATATGGCTGTCTGCTAAGGATTGCTGTGGTGAATTAAGACTATCATACAAGAAGAAAGCCAGCTTGTTTATGTTATATTGAACCAGCTTTGCTTCAGAGCGTCATCAGTTTTCCTTTAAAAAGAGTGACAGTTTGTCACATTACTGATTAGCTGCATTATTGTTGGCAACAAGCACAACATGTTTATCTTCCTTAAAATTATGCCATTATATTTAAAAACAGAAAGCAGAAACAAAAAGGGGGGATTAAAAAGAGTCCAGTGATTAGCATTCACATTTCAAAATATGCAAATAATGCCCTAGTATTCAAAAGCGAATTGCTGAAAAATTGAATGTCGATGCATTGTGGCTTCAAAGAACAACCTTGATTTGCTTGTTGTGGATACACACTATGTTTTAAACCAGGATGTAGTTGGCAGGTCAAAATCAACAGTAGATTTTGCTTAAAAATTCGTTACCTCTAAGCACTATTGTCAGTACTGATGATCATCTGGAAATTATTTTAATCTACAAAACATTGCAATTCTAAAAATCTACAATGTGTGCTCCAAAGGTTTTTTTTTTTAACACCTCACTATAATCTGCCCAGCCCGCTGAGTAGCATTGACATCAGTAGTACATCAATTTCAGAAAGTGGATTATTTTTACTAGACAGCTATTGTGACATATTGGGTCAGTCATAAATGAAAGATATTCATGCAAGCATGCAATACTTGTAATGAAGTCTCACTCTGACCTTCTGTATGATTGATTCTGTAATTTAGTTTTCTCAGGCAGTGCCTGAAATGAAATGAAATCATGTTGAACAAGTTTTGAATACCCACAGTGCACCAGGAGAAGAAAAATCTGCAGCCCTAGAGGGTTGAGAGAGAGCAGATGAACGATTTATCTCTATGCTATTATAGCCTTTGCCAGCATTCAACATTTCTTTTTTTTTTTTTTTCTTATTTGGCTTAAGTACTTAATTCTGCAGGTAGCTGTAAATGGGAAAATAAAATGCTGTTCAGATTTAAAATGACAGGACAGGAGTATGTGCAAGGGACTGATAAAATATCTTGAATAGAACTGACCTTTCATGTAGCTGAAAGTTACTGGGGGATTCATCCTCATAATTACCATATAGATTATTTTTATTTCTTTCCTGCAATGAAACATTTCAGAGAGCAGTAGTGCTGATTGAATGAAAATTGAACTTGTTAACATTCTTTTCAGCTTAGCCTGTTGTACATAACAGAAGGTTAGCTTTGATGAATTTCAAAATTCTCTTTGATATCTAAGAAACAGACAGTAAAATAATTGTTTCTAGTCTGATATTTTGTATGCCCCCAAAAGAGAATTTATAAAACACACTGATAATGCACACACTTTTTCTTCACACATTATATTTCATGTTTAGGGGACTGACATTTTTCTGTTTGATGTTGCTTTGGATTTAATTGTAATAGCACATATTTATAGAAAATGCTACACTGTTGCTCTAGTAATACCAAATATAGAATTAGAAGATTGAGAGAAATGAAAGTAAGGGAACTATATTTGAGTATGGAAGTGTCTGTACCTGTTAAGGCAAGAGAAAAAAGTGCTACAGAAGATACTCATGCAAAGAAAAAAGTATAACCTCTTAAAATATTCATAACACTCATCATAATCTAGACAGATACCATATTTGATCAGAAAAACATGAATTTATTAAAATAATACATCTAAAATTACTGGGCTTGTTTTGTAGGTTTTTATTTTCATCAAATATTTGGCATGGCTGTGATTTTGAGGTTGAATTAATTTTGTCTTTGCAAAATGACTTTCGTGCCATTTTTTACTTAAAAAATCTTACATTAGGAGAAATGGCAGACTTTCAATTAATACATTGTTTTTAGCAATGTTGCTTAATGTGCTATAGATAAAACAGTTATTTCATGGGTCATTAATGTGTTTAATGTGTGGAACGTTCTATTAAAACAAGCCCTTATTATTATTATGAACATATTCATTGCCATTGTCAATAAAGGCTATATTGCTAAATTCCACAGGATGATTACCATTTAGCCATTGGGGGAGAGACCAACAACTTCTCAGACAAATCGAACCATTACTTCAGTCATGTTTATTTTTGGTCAAGCTACTTTCAAAATGTATTTTTATTGTAAGTTAAGAATAGAAAAGGCACAACTTCCAAAAGCAAGTAGTTTACCTTAAGTGAAAAAGGAGCCAACCTGTACAAAGTCAAACTTATAAAATTGAAGCCATGTTCACCCCTAAGAAATGTTTACTGAGCACCTACTAAGGGCTGGAAGGTTGTTCTTCATAATTAGAAATGGATTATACTTTTATGTAATTGTTTTCTCAATTATCACAGTATGTTCTCTATGTAAAACAAAAACTTAAGAGTCTGAATACTGCTTCAAAGATACTTACCATCAAAAGTCAACTTTAAATTAGTTGTGTGTCCAAAGTGCTTAGACCACAGACGTTTACTGCTGCCTTCCTTTGTAGTTAGAGCAAGAGCTTCATTCCATAAGAGCTTAACATAAAAATTCTTTATTCCTGATTGGCCTATAAATACACTGATTTTGATCCTATGAGTGTTGGCTATCAGGTTAAATTCAGGGTTGTCTATTAAAGTAGGAATGCGTTCCAGACTTCTGCCAAAACTCAATTAGCTGTTGTGCCCTGTGGTACATGAGCAATTATGCTATAGTTTAGTCCTCTGTATCTTTTTCTTAGCCTGTATCATCTATAGTTGATTATTGCCAGAACAT